CTGGCATGGTGATCGCGTCCTCTTGCCACTCTCTTTAGATGTCCCAGAGGGACAAGCAGAGAAGCTGTGGGGCATCCGAGTCCTACCACAGTCCTGGTTTAGCTCTCAGGAAACCACCCCCTGACTTACCTCCCTTGCACCCACCAGCTGAGGTGAGCTGGGCAGTGATTATCTCTGGACATATGTCCTCATGTCTCACTCCTTCGAGCCGGGGGGTCTGCGTTGCCTCCTGTTGCACCTGCACAGGAACCCACCAGCCTTCGGATGGGGGTAACCAGCTCTTGGGGACAGCAGGCATCTGCTGAGCTGCAGTAACTCACAGTCAGTGCCACGTCCTAGTGTCCCCACTAGCTCTTGATCCAGGCTGGTGAGCCCTTGTTAGAGCCCGGGGAACTCTATCATGCCCATCCATGTTACCTGGGGACCAGGTTAATGTCACCTTCTGTTGTTTCTCCCCGTGCTGTCTGGGAAAGGTTGGGATCTCCCAGCTCAGAGTCTCTCCCGCTGGGGCTGAGGGTCGTTTCCCTGAATCCTACATGTAGCCGAGCATTTCTGTCATGGGTACCAGTATTAGACGGCATCTTCCTCCTTTCCCCATGGGGACAGGGGAACAGCAGCCTGCTTGCACCCTCTCTCCCTCTCAGCCCATTGCTATGGCCTCCAAAAGCCGAGGGAGCTCCTCATCCCTGGTTCTGCTGGGCTTAGATCACGCGTGATGGTATTTCGAGCCAGTCTGAAGGCCAAGTTTGTGGGTGCTTGCCCACGAGCCCTTCTCTCCTCCGCTTTCCTGTCAATGGGTTTTCTTCCACCTCAATTCACCTTTCGGCTGGGAGGCGAGGGCAGAAAGTACCTGGTCCATTCACCACATCCTTGACTTCTCTTAGCATCCCTGGGGCCAGGAGGTCCCCCACAATGGCATTTCTCTTGTGGGTTGTGATCCTTTATTTATAATGCTTCTCCATGGGCTTGGCAGGTGACCTGGACAATTAGCTCTGGCCCTTCGTTAACCATTTTTCCAGGGGGAAAACGGAGGCATGGGCTGAACCGAAGCAGCTCGGTCTTTGACGGCTCTGCGAAGCATCAGCCCCATGCAGTCAGGATCAGCCATGCTCTTGTCCTTCCTCCAGCGGTCCCCCTTTACCGTCCCCTCCGCTCCCTTTCTGTCCTTCCCCTGCCCGTGCAGAGGGAGCTGGAGATATCCCCAGCGCATCACCTCTGAATGGGAGAAGCACCAAACCCGTGGCCTTTCCCCATCATCAGGCGAGATGTTCCTTCCCATCTCTTATTTCTCCCTCTGTCCCCAGTTCCCTCCACCTGGCCGGCAAAACAGAGGATGAGCCAAATCGTTGCCCACCGTCACCTTCCCGATGCCCCCGAGCGCGGGGGCCGGATTCCCACCATAGCTCCCATGGAGTTAACGGAGCAGGACACCTCCCGGAGCCAAAGTGCTTAGTGCCATCCGCTCCCGTTGCGTGATGCTCCTCGAACCCTGGGGGGAAGGATCCGGCCCTCCGTCTCTCCCATCACCATTCCCAAACCAGCCAGGGAGGCGTCCGCTTTCCTCCCCTCTTCTTGCAGCGTCAATAAGAGGTGAAGTCAATAAGAAGGTAACAAAAAAGCTATATTATATATATAAAATATATACAGGGAGAGGAGATGGAATAATAACCTAGAGATTCTCTATTTCTATTGTATATTTATTCTGTAAATGTCACTGTAAATGCTGTTAAATGACAAAACGTATTCTGAAGTGGCCCGTGACCTATTTTCATTCCCAGTGCTGTACAGATCGATTCTCATTGTATATCAGGACATATTTTTACCTTTTTATTTTTCATGCGTGGTGGGTGGCCGTTATCCGTCCCCCTCCCCAGCCCCAGGGGGTCCGGCTGCCCTGGGGATCCAGC